CTGAGTGCTGGGATTACAGGCGTGCACCACCACGCCCGGCCTAAAAGGCTGTATTTTGAAGGCAGCACCCTGGCTTCTGTTAGACGTAGAATAAACTCCAGGCTCTTCTCCCTGCCATGGACAGTCTTCTGTGACCCAGCCCCCAGCCTGTCCCCGATCACAGTGCTCCAGCGCCAGCATCTCCTCTCTGCTCCTCAGACTCTGTAAAGCCATTTCAGGTCTCCACCCCACACCACCCCCAGCTGTTCCCTCTGCCTGAGCTCAGCAGCTCCTTATCAACGTCTGGGGCTTAGTGTACCTGACGCTCTTTTATTGAGGACTTCTGTGAACACTCACTGTCGAGGAATAGTAACAGCTACCAGTTCCTGGGTGTCTTCCATGTGCTGGACACCACTGTATGTCCCTGCCATGGAGTCGCTCTTTAGATCATCATGACAACCCTGTAAGGTGGGGCTCAGTACTATTTCCACTTTGCAGCTGAGGAAACAGGCACAGAGAGGTTCCCTGACACAAGCAAAGTCTCACAGCTATCAGGCAGAGGAGCTGGACTCAATGCTAAGCCCTCAGAGGGCACCCACAGTCATGTGAGGAGGCAGAGTGCACACAGGCCAGGCCGCTTTACTGCATTGTCCTGCTTGCTGTCCTGGAGATGGTAGGAAGAGCACAGGGGCGGTCAGCTGAGGAGGGGCTCCCAGAACAAGTGACATCTCTATAGGGTTGGAGACATTGGGCAGGAAGCAGCGCAAAGGGAAAGAGCACAAGCAAATGCAAACAGGTGGCTGGGTGCATGTGAGGCTAGGACCAGCCAATCACACTGGATACAGAGGAGAAGGGATACAGCTGGCAGAAGAAAGTTGATCCAGATCTTGGAGGGCTTCTGGTAGAGGCTGCCACTTTGTTTTTTTTTAGACAGGATCTCAATGTGTAGCTCAGGCTGACTTTGAACTCACTATGTAGCCTAGGCTGGCCTTGAACTCATAGCAATCCTCCTGCCTCAGCCTTCCAAGTAAAGCCTGCAACTGTTTCAGAGGCTGCAAGTGGGTCCCAGAAGGACACTAAGCAGAACTGACACAGTATTGTTAGTCAAGTTTCCACTCCCCACCCCATTCCAGCTTTGTCTAGTTTTCTGAACCCTGTACAGAGTGTGGTACCTAGCTCTGCAGGCTGGCAAGATTTGATGGGGCTTTGATGGGGCTGGACCAAAACAAGACTAGAAGCCAGAGAGGACCAAGAGCAGGAATTGGGACCTGCCTCACCCTCTGGCATCCCTGAGCTGGCCCAGCCTCCACAAATCACTGTTATGAGAGATTCTGGGAAGCAGGTCACTGCTGAGGCCAAGTAAACTCCCACAGGCCTGCACAGAGCCAGAAAGCAGAAAGGCAATGCCCTCATCAGCTTCCTCTCTGGGGGAAGGTGGTGATCCCTCCAACTTACCAACTATGGAGGTCTGATGTACCTTTATTGCAGTTGTTCACTTCTGTTCTATCTTCTGGAGGTCAGTAAAATGGCCTTTATGACCCTCTGTGGCTCTGCAGTGTGGATCCAGGTACCAGCACAACCAGGAGGCCCCAGAGCAGGGGCGGGGAATAGGCAGCCCTCACCAGTCTGCTCTGATGAAGGCCAAGAAAGTCACTTCTATGTACTTGAGTCTTCATCTAGAGGAAACACCAATGAATGCTGGTAGGTAAGAAAGAGAAAAGTAGCCCTGAGCATCAGAAGCCTGTCCAGCACTCAGCTGGCTCTGATGTTCCTGTTGGCTCCTGCTGAGCATAAACTTCACGAAACTCCAACAGCGATATGGCCATTCCATGGCCATGAGCATAGAGAAACAGCACATACACCCAACCATCAGCAAGACATGAGCACTGTCCAAACTGTGAAAAAGGCCCAGCCTTACCTCACCCTTGCTAATGTGAGACGGCCGCTTCTTACCTGTGGCAACTTTAGCCTTGGCCGAGCCCTCCCTCTCTCACGATAACCTTCGTGGTGATACCCAGTCATCAAACTGCCCCTGCTTCTCGACAGCATCCAACCCAAAACACAGCCTTGCTTCCTTCAACTCTCCCCAAAATTATCTAACAAAAGCCCGGATTCTAAGGAGTCCTTTCCAATCTCTCCTCTGGAGATGGCCTGATGCTTCCCCCTCACAGCCTCTCCCTCACTGCACCGGGCAGAAGAGCAGCTGGCCCCATGATGGGTGTGTTCCTGGCCATCTTTGTCTAGAAAGTTTCAGACACGGGGACCCTCCATGGATGCTGGGTCACGGAGCACAAAATGTCACAGTCAAGAGTCACACAGTGCTGCGCCCTCCAAAACTAGTTGATGAGAAAGGGAAAAATGGCAGTTCCCTTTACTGGTCAGGGTGACTGGTTTTAGACAGAGAAGGTAACCTTTTATGGTATTAGAAATGGTCTACATTTTGCACTAGGTAGTGGTTACAACAAATATTAAAAAACATTGTTGAGCTGTACACTTAAGTTTAGTGCACTTTCACGTTTTATCAGAAACATATTATATCTGATTTTTAAAAGTGTTAGCCACTAACTTCAGCAGGTAGTGAGACAGGGAGAAGGGCCTGACACTCTCCAAGAGCTATTTTTAAATTTTTTCTTTCAAGGCTGCCCCAAATGCCTTCTGGCCAGTCTGGCTACATCAGGTGACCCACAGTCAGTCAGGGAGTCATTTGCTTTGAATGCAGCAAGCTTCCGTCTCAGTCAGATCCTGGATGACTCCTCCCTGCAGCCTCTGTGCATGCCACACCCCTCCAAAGCTCTTTTCAGTCAGGTCAGTACGGAGCCCCTTCCCCACCATGAGCAAATAGGAAGTCTGCCAGTGAGTGAGCGAACTCTCCTTTTCCCTATATTAGCAACCTCCCATTACTCTTAGCGGACTGGTCCATGTACTGTACCACCTTATGCTGTAGCATAGGTTCTAATAAAATCTCTTTTGGACAGCATACTTTTGCCTATTCATGATTTCTATCTTGAGTAGAGCATACTGAACTCATACAGGAAGGCCTGTGACCACTGAATGTGGCCAGCTGCCATCTTCAGGGGCCAGAAGAGATCCCAAGTCCTGCTGGGAGCTGCCGACTCTGAGCCCTAAGCCCAACCACTAACACTCAGAGCTGATAGCTGTTGGCATTCAAAGTTCAGGACTATGGACATTATGAGAGCTACACTTTGCCAACTCATAACCTCAATACAAATTGAGCGAAAGAACCCTCGTCCAATTGGTAAGTTATCGGTGGTCCACGTGGGCACCCTCCCTTTTGGAGGACTCTGAAGAAGAGGACAGAGAGCAGTGATAGGCATCAGCAATGGAGAAAAAACTGAAGAACAAGCTCCTATATGATTTCCATATTACATGTGGCTAAAGACTCACACTAGTTGGTGACAGCAGAAGGAAAAACAGGAAATCCAAAGCAGGTCACCCAAGTACCAATTTAAAATACTTTGGCCACAAAGTGGCACCAGGGTTGGGATGGTAGCTGACTTGAAGGAAACTGTGGGCTACCGAAAACAAGTATCTGATTGAAAGACTGGAAAAGCAGTAACTTGCAGAAATTTTTAAAGCATTTGGGTTGGTCCTCTCAGAGAAGACTAGATGGCAAAGAAACATAATTGAACTCAATCTGTTTACTCTGTAACAGAAAAGAATCTGGTTGGACCCAAGGAAGATCTTCCCAACAGTGACAAATGAAGTAGAGCAGGCTGTGACATCCTGGTCCCAGGGAAATTTGAAACTCATCTGGCCAAGAAAAGCCCCAGCATGCCCTGGGCTGTGACTAGGAGGCTAGAATAAATGAACTCTGGCTATCCCTCTTGTGACCAGGGACTCTGGTTTGTCAAGAGTGTTCTGGGTCAGCTGCATAGCCCCAATTAATTATCCAACGGGAGCCCTCTCTATCCATACTAAGCTTTCTATGTTCTCTGGTCATTGCCACCAACCACAGCTTTCATTAAACCCAAGGCTTAATTACACAGGTGCAGTGCTGCCATCACTCCCCTCGTGGCTTGGCTTCCGGAATGATGGTGGTGGCAACAGTGTTTCAGGAGGACAGATGAGCCTCAAGAGACCCAAAACAGGGAATCTAGACCCTAGGCACTTGGGGACACATGGAGAGAGCATATGTGAGACTTCTGTTCTAAAAGAGCTGACAATGTGTTGGAGAGCTATGACCTCCAACCTGGTAGATGTCACAGGACAGGCAGTGGCCCTTTAGGAGTGAGGTGATCAGGGAAGCTTCGTGGAGAAGGAGGATTTAGAGAAACTTTAAAGGCAGACCAGGATTGGACAGATCACCAGGCAACACAGAACATTTCATGGCACCAGAGTCCCTGGTGGAGGGAACAGCACGATTTCAAGTGTAGAGATCTAACAAGGACTTAGAGGCTGGGCCTGTAACATATACTCAGTGGATAACCAAAAGCAGGATGAAGCTTAGCATCTCTGCCTTTGTTTTGTATCTTTATTACCTTAAAGTTCTCAGATTATAGCTCAGCTCTACATGTAGGGATGTTGATCTTCTAACAATCATCTATCTAAAAAACTAGTACTACAAGGTACATTATCTCTAAATTTAGCTATATTATCCTGCTTCAAAAACTGAAGACACCAAGATCAGAATACCTAAAGTCATTCTCAGGATCTTCAGGGACGTCCTGCAAACTTGTACAGTATCTGGCTCTACGCCCCTTGGAGGGGTGCGTCGAGGTCTCCTGTCATTGTCCTAAACCTGTAATCACATGGATTCCAGGAAAATTAGAGCCTTGCAGACCATCTCATGTTGACACCACCCCTCCAAATAGAAGCAACGACCCCAGGACAGGAACCAAGACTGTCCCCACGGCAGGAGTCATCATCTCGTGACGGAGACCAAACTGCCCCCGCCAGGATAATAGCACTCCTAGAACCTCGCCATGCCTGAGATAATGATCAACCAGACCAGGTCACAACTTGACCAGGATTACTAACCCTACTGCTGTGCAGAGTCCCAACTTTGCCGTTATTGCCTTTTTTTTTTTAAATAAAATGCCAAGGTAAATTGGGACCTCATTCAGTAGGTCCTAGAAAGCAGCTGGAAGTTTTTGAGCTCAGGAATGATCCAAATTTCCTATGGACGTTTACAGGACTTTGAGGATGGGATTCCAGGTAATTCCTCATTCTTACCTAGCTCGCTCTGATTTGCAAACACTAATCTTACCTTTTTTTTTTTTTTTTTTTTTTTTTTTTTTTTGGTACGGGGGATTGAACTAGAGACCTTGCCCCTGCGAGGTAGGCGGAGGAACCACTGAGCTAAATCCCTGGCAAATCTTAGCATTCTTTACACTTCCTGTAGTCCTAGCTAAGTCCTTTCCTTCAGGTCTCAAATGTTATCACCTCTTTCTCTAGGAAGCCATGAGGAAATGGCTCCCTCTCCCTCAATCCCGGGCAGGAGTCATTTTTTAAGGCTCTCACCCTCTGTTTGTCCCATTAGAGCTCACAGTACTGTTTGTAATTATTGCTTTGTGTGAATTCTCTGGTAGTCTAGGAATTCCGTTGAGGCCAGAGACAGTATCTTTTCCACCAGAGTTCCCCCAAGAACCAGCATAAGGCAGTAAAGTGCAGGATAAATGAAAGGACACATGTGAACCTGCTGACATCTCAGGTTCCTCCCTGATCGAGGCTAGTGAGAGTCTCGAGACCTACAATGGAAAATCCCCGTCGGCAACAGCTGCAGACCAGTTGGTAGGTAAACACCTTTGACATGAATCATCAATCTCATATTCTCACAGGAAGCAAAGGGTAAGGGAACACAAAACAATACACGACCTCCTCCTCTTTTTTCTGAGAATAAAGAAAAGCCAGCGTTATTTCTAGGCACGCCCGGGAGCTATTTGAGGAACGGTGAGGCGGAGGGTTACTTATCGGAGTACAAACAATAGTCTTCCGCTGAAACCTATTTTCGTGGCGGCTGCTCCTTAGACTACCACCAGGGGGAGAAATGGCACTGCATCCCACGGCGTTTCGTGCGCAGGAAACTCTGGGAATTGTAGTCCTGGGTTGCAAGGTGAGTTCTCTCGCGGTGCACCTCGGGAGATGTAGTTCTAAAGGGAGAGGCGGAACGTGCTTTTAAGCATCTGTATTGAGTCCTGGAAACTACAACTACCAAAGGGCCACGGCTCCTGGGCAGTTTCTCATTTCCTTCTAGTGAAACATCTGAGGTTGCTTCTGAGGGATCACCTTGACTGGGTAAGTTTGGTTGGAGGAAGCTCTCGTTCTTAACTGACCTGTCTGCAGACCTTTTCATATTCCAGTCTGATTTATGGCCTCCTCGTCTCTCAGCCTCAGGAACTGCACATTACCTTTTAATCTTGCTCCTTTCTGTGTCCCAAACACCCCCAGTATCCACCCACACTAAACCCCGCTTCTGTCACCTGTTGGTTCACTCTGGCACACCTGGACTCCCACTCGGAGACCTCAGCCCCAGCCTGACCCCGCAGCCTCACCTACCTGAAATCGAGGCTTCTTTATGTGTTCTCCATGCCTTGTGTGCTTCACTTTACACTCACTGCCCTGATTTTTTTCTTGCTGATGTTAGAAAGGTTCCATTCCTTCTTAACGGTGCTGGGAACTTGGAAGTCAGCCCACAGGGTTCTAGTCCAGCCTGTGTGTGACCTCGGGCAAGTTGTACAACCTCTCTGAGACTCACTTTCTTCATCTGTAAAATTGAGATGACCATCAGTCGAGGAAGAAGTTGTGTTTTGGAGCCAGTACGCTAATAGGTGTGAAAGTGCTTTTAAACTGTAAGGCCTCCACAAGCAGCAAGTTATTTATTACATTTAGTAGTAGCTTGGACCATCTCTATCAGGGCTGCTTTTCAAGTTCTGCCACCTTGTTACTTAAGCCTGTTCGTTGGACCTTGATGTCTCCATCTAAGAGCAGGGTGGTATTGCCTCACTTCCTCCGGAGATTAAACATCAGACAAAGCAGTGAGCTTTTAGTCTCCAGGGAGCTTTGTCGGAAAGGAAGCACTAGAGAGGCACTTATCTTGGACTTCTTTCTGAAAGAGCCAGTGATGAAAGGTCCACATGGCTGGTAGGGGCAGCAGGAGGACAGCTGCAGTGTTCAGCCCAGTCCCTTCCCTTAGGGCTCTTCCTGGCCTATTTTATAGACTCTGGCTTTGGCAGGGATGTCTCAGGCCTGGAAAGACTGAGAGGAGAGTCCATTTTGCCAAAGGTTTTAATCCAGGAAAAGTGAAAGCAACCTTAACTGGGTATGTTCCTGACTGTTATGTTCCTGACATTTTGTGAGTACTTAAAATGTACCAGGGCCTAGACAATGTCAGTTTCCTTATTTAAATCTCACTTACAAAGTGTTCCCATTTTACATATAAAAAACTTAGGTTCAGAGAAGTCATGTAGTTAAAAGTTACAGCTACTTCATGGCTACAGCCAGTGCTTTACATACATTGTTTAATCCTTTTTGACATAAATAGCTGTTGTTTCTATCAAGTGGATTCATTATGGGAGTTTTAGAGTTTAAGGAACTTTCTCAAGATCTCACAGCTCATAATTATCAAGGTTGACTTTCAGAGTCATCAAAGTCTTTCTTTTCCCACTATACCCTATAACCTTATTTTTAGATCAAAAATATTTCATTCCTCAGAAATGGAGAGGACTTAAATAAAAACCAAAGGAAGGTACATTTATAAGTCTCTACTATTTGGAAAGCCTGTAGATAGACGGTTTGACTTACAAAGAAATCTAAAATACAGTCTTTACCCCTGGATTATATCTGAAGAGAAAGACGTAAATCTACATAAAATTAAATGGCATTCATTGGATAAGTTAATTATTGAGACCAGTTGTGTGCAGGGCATAAAATTAGGCTAAGTAACAGGCAGGAATAGGCTTCTAGATGGACAAGGAGACTACATCCCATGAAATTGTCATAAAACAGGAGGCCAAAACACACTGTACACTAAGTGTTGATTGTGTGCACACCTTTCTGAATAAACTATATGGATCAGAGGTTCCATCTCTCTCTCTCTCTCTCTCTCTCTTTTTTTTTTTTTTTTTTTTTTACCAGGATAAACCTCAGGGCCTTACACTTT